GCCGCCGCCGCCGCCGCCATGTAGGTGTAAGGGTAGGGGAAGAGTCCGCCGAAGGTGGGCATCGGGATTCCCTGCGGAGAGACGGAGAGAGCCTGTGAGAGATGGGAGGCCCCTGCTGCATCCTGTGGCACCCCTGTTTTCACACCCTGTGTTGGAGGGATCCCAGTGGGAAGAGGAGCACTGAGCAGAGCAAAACATGCAGCCAGAGGCAATGCTGCCCATTGGAAATTGGGTTAGGGAACCCAGCGATGCCCCTGCACCATCGCCCACCCTAGTTGCATCCAAACTGCTGCTGAGTGGTATGGAAAAAGGAGGGAGGGTCAAAAGCACCTGGGGACAGTCTCATCACAGCATTTGAGCCAATGCAGCACCAAGGCTCTCAATGCCCCTGCAGCTACTTTGACCCTGGCCAGGAAACCACAGGGCTGTAGGAACTGCCTATGCCACCCCACCAATATAGTGTCTTTATTAAATACTAATTATTATTAAAAATATTAAATAGCTTTTAAAGAAAAAAAAAAAGGAAAAACATATCAAGATTCCTCCTCAAATCATCCTTCAGACCCTTTGGCCTCTTTTGGGCCATGCTGCAGGCCAGGAATCCACCTCAGAGGCCGGGGCGTTGCAGGGGCAGCCTTACCTGAGAGGCCAGCATGTGCTGGGAGAGGTGGAACGGGAAGGGGGTGGCCGCCCCCGCAGTGCCTTGGGCGGACGAGAGGGCCCCGTTCTCCAGGCTGCTGCCACCGGTCACCGAGGCCAGCAAGTGTCCCATGCCCATGGCGGAGAAGGCGCCGGGGGCCATAGCAAACTGTCCTGGGTGGATGAAGAGCGGCTGCCCGGCACCCAGTGGGCTGAAGAACTGCTGCCCGTGGAGGCCCGACAGCGCCAGGCTCTGCAGGTGGCTGGCGCTCAGGTGCGGGGGGCTGTCCGTGTGCACCATGAGCGGGGCGAAGGCCTCCTTGCCCAGCCCGCCGCCCTCTGCGTCCTTCTTGCCCGGCTCCGGCTCTTTCCTCCGCCCTTCCACCTTGTCCTTCTCCAGGCCCCGCAAGCCGAACAGGCCCTCGATGGGGCCGTCCTTGGGCGACGCGCCGTCCTTGCCCTTGTCCGGGCTGCGCCGCTCCTTGCCGCGCTCCTCAGTGCACCGGGGGCTGCCGCGGGGCGTCGCGTCCTCCCCACCGGGGCTGCCCGCGCCACCTGGCCGCTCCTCGGGCACCTTCTCTGCCTCCTGGTCGCTGTCAGCTCCTGGTTTCTCCTCTGTGAAAAGGATGGAAGTGTCAGGAAACCAAAAGCGACAGCACCCATGGGAAGCCCCGTTTTCCCAGCGCTGGTCCCCTGTGGAGCACAACCCTCTTCCAGGCCCTTTCCCGGGCAGTAGCATCCCAGGGAGAAGTGTCCCCCTCCCCATGGACCCTCTCCCAACACACAGCAAAGAGGCAGGGGGGAGGCAAGGGTCAATGAGACCCCAGCCCTATAGGGGCTTTGCCAAGGGAAAGGTCCCAGCCACCAACAATGGGAATAACTTGGGCTATTTCAGGGGCAGATACCAGCCCTTGCACCGTGGGGATTCGAGGGAAAAGGGGATTAGCAGCCGCTGCGCTGCCGAGCAGGAAAAACACGTTTGCTGGAGCCCTGAGATGCTGCATCACAGCACTGGCCTCAGAGCTGCGACCTGCAGGCTGAGGCACAGGGGACAGAGCGAGGTGGGCAGCCGGCACGGAGGAAATGATTCGGTATATATTTAATTACGCAGAGCTGATCAGCTCCACGGGCGCCATGGATTTATTCCAAATGGGAAGATTGTGCCAGGTTAAAGAGTCTGAATTAAGGAAAGAGGTATGGCACAGGGCTCCTTAACAGAGGTTTAATCCAGAAAAAAAAAAAGAGAAAAAGAAAAAAAAAAGAAAAAGAAGAAGCAAGAAAAAAAAAGCTTAGAGCTATTGGAAGAAGGGGCCAGAGCTGCAGAAACATGGGGTGAAAACAGAACAGTGGGAGCAGAGCTGCTGCAAAAGGCACCTCTGTTCCCTGGCTCTGCAGGGCACCCCTGGTCGCTGCTGAACGAGAAGCGAGTTTTGCTGCATGTTGGATAAAAACCTGCAGCCTGGGATGGGAGGATATTATGTGAAGGCCTCGAAAGAGGGCAGGGGGCACTAAAGCCCCCACCAGGATGAGGGGGGCGCGTTTTGTTGGACTTCTGCAGGGAATCAGGCCCGCAGATGGCGGCTGCTTTAGAGAAGCGTAGATTGATAGCGCGACAGGACTAACTCCAGCATCTAAAACTTGCAACGCAGGAACCACTTTGTCATTTTAATTTAGTTGGGTTTTTTTTTTCTTTTCTTTTCAAATATTATCATTTTTTAATTTTTACAGGCGTTTAAGCCAGGCATCGAAGGCAGGGCAGCAGTGTGCAGCATACGCCTGGTGCTGCATTACTTGCTGCTTACACCAGTGTATAAACAGGAAAATGTTGCAAGCCGTCAATACAGTGCTCATTTTCTCACTGCTGCTATTCCTGTTGTTTGAGATCCTTGGCTATTCCGTGCCCATCTTTACATTTTACTTTTTGGGGGGCGATTTTCTTTTTCCTTTCTGCTCTTGCCAGCCAGCTCACATCCCCCTGCGCCTTTCCGCAGCGTGGAGAGGCACCTAACTC